ATTTTTGTACTTTGTTACCCTTGTTTTTCTTTTTACATTATATTGTCACGTAAGTATTGTGATTGTTGTAGGTTTTCGTTAATGTTTTGATAGGTGTAGATCAAATATCTAAAATAAATAGAAAATATGGGCCTATGCATTACGTAACTGCGCATTGGAGTTGTACAATCTAGGCTTGGTTTATCAGTGCGATGCAGATGGTTGCACTTTCTAATCTTTGCTAGTAATGTACCGCTGGGCGATTACTATATCTTGCAAATAGACGTTACTCTTGCCATTTGCTGGCACTTTGCACCAAATACGGTTTGCTATGAATGTATGCAGGGCGGTCGTGCCGGCCAAAATGGTGGGAAATCCATCTGTTGGCACCATGTAAATGGCGAAGCATATACAGCATGACGGATTATAATCAGCGTGATTTTAGAACCCAAGTTAATTATTTCCCCTCCTGTTTCAGGTATAATAGTGCAAAATGTCTGAGATGGAGCTGCAGCATATGGAAACGTCAGAAAACGGTCACGAAGTCGACGATGATTTTAATGGAGCCGACCTCATCGAGGAGGGAAACGACGACAGCGCGGTGAATGACTGCGGAGAGGGCGCTGGGCCTGACGAGGACGGAAATTCGCCAGACGGGGGCACGGAGGGCGGCCAGATCGACGCCAGCAAAGGCGAGGAGGATGCGGGGTGAGTGTAAAAATGACGCGATGGGATCATTTCCCCTCCTTTTTTATGAAACCGACAGTTCTAATACGCACTCCTGGTTTGCCATGTTTCTTTGTTCATCGGCCTTTGTTGGAGCCATGTGCAGAGCGGAGGGGGGATGGGCGCTAGAGCATGGATTAGATCTAACCTGTATTTTAATATGAGCAACTGTGGCTACAAGGTGTGGGCTGTGGTCCTAAAGCGATTTTCAATAAACCGCGTTACACTTGTAACATTGTGAAGCTATAGCAACAGATGCTCAGGAACGGTGTGTTCAATCACCCCCCTCCCCCTCCCTTGAGGGGTCATCTGGTTAGAAAAAATCTTTTGGTGAGAATCAGTGGGCAGTAGTTTTGACCTGAGGTCTAAACTGTCGTCACAGATTACTAAACCGGCTGCAGTGTAGCCTGTTAGCCTACAAATAACAAAGTAGCCTATACACAACAAAAGAACACTGAGGACCTGACAACAGCGCTGGCAAGCAAAGTCCCTCACTAACTAGTCCAACTCCCACAAACACAATCATGAGTTTATGCTGCTGTCATTATGTGGCTCATGTTATTGAGTGAAAATGGTTTGATCCCCTTTGTGTGATATTGTATTAGAGGCTTCTTCAGGCCAAAACTGGAAGTATATACATATATCTTAGTCCAAGATCAAAATGAAATGGTTTAAAATCCATGTGACAGGCTACATCGCATCTGGGTTAGCAATCCATGTGCTCAGTTTACTAATCTGTGTGCACAGATTCTCACCCACATTTTGTTTTTTCTACCACATGACCTCTCTGGGACTCTTGACATTGTACTGGGTAAAGGCATCTCTTAGACAAATATTTTACACAAAAATGAAAAATTTGTAAAATCAACTTTGTGGTAGGATGCACTACCAACAAGACAAAGAACACAGAGTTAGAGTTTTAAAAGCTGCCAAACATTAAAACCCTGAAGCCTTAAGATGACAAAGTAGATTAAGATGTAAGGCATTAGCAGAAACAATGGGGAAACATGAATCCTGACAGTATAACCATGTTCTGGAGTTTCAAAGGTGTGGAAAAAAAATGAAGCTCGCTCTCCATTAATTTCTATGGGAGATTGCATTCACCGCAGGGGGCTTGGAAAAACAATACTACTCTTGCAACAAAAAAGTCGGATCTGGTTCAGCTTCATGTTACTATTCACTGCGGATAGTAACATTACCCAGCAAAGGAGCTGTATGGAGTATGATCGTGATGTGTGCGCCCACAGGAAGAGGGCTCCTTTGTTTACCTTGTTAGCATGAGCATTCATTGCTATTCACTGTCCGATTTGGGCCATCATTAACGCACCATAATGACACGCCTTGCATTTTCGTTAGTGCTTGATGTCAAACTTTTTTTTTTTTTTATTATCAGTGCCAACATATTGGTGGTAGAATTGGTGCTGAGATAGATTAGGCTATGTTAACATGACTAACCAAAGCACAATGGAAACTCCCGGACTGGAAATGGATCAGTCTGAACGCCAACTAGGTCTGTGTGTGGCAAGCATCTTGGTATGTTTGCAGCATCCTTAACTAACTACATTAACTTGCTAGGACATAGCATGAGGGAGGAAAATTGGTGTTATTGGGGTGCAGTTGATGACTAAAATGATCATGGGACAAGTCAGCTGTTAGAATGTTAGCAAGCTACTCCCATTCTTCCTGCTAATGCCTTACATTTATCTCTCAAGATTTTTTTTCTTTTCCTTGTCTTGTAAAACTATACCTCTGGTTTATTTGCCTTTTGGTAGTGCATCATACCACATAGCAGATTTTAGACATTTTTCAGGTTTTTGTAAAAACACCAAAGAGGTGCCTTCACTTAGTACAAAGTCAGTGAAGTGAGATGAATTGCCCCCCCACCCTGTGGCCTAATTGTGTGTTGTCTGTATAGATATAAAGTTGGAGTAGTGCTGCTGCTATAAATATGTACCTTTTCCCTCTTGTTGTGCCTAGGAAAATGTTTGTTGGTGGTCTCAGCTGGGACACCAGCAAGAAGGATCTTAAGGATTACTTCTCTAAATTTGGTGAGGTGACAGACTGCACTATAAAGATGGACCAGCAGACAGGCCGGTCAAGAGGCTTCGGCTTCATTCTTTTTAAAGATGCAGCCAGTGTAGACAAGGTGAGCATGGAAGCAACTATTTTAGTGCATAAGGAATATTAATGTTAGGCATTTTTTTATGCGTTATTATATTTATATATATATATTTTTTTTAAGGTTCTCGAACAGAAGGAGCACAGGCTAGATGGCCGACAGATTGACCCTAAGAAGGCCATGGCCATGAAGAAGGATCCAGTCAAGAAAATCTTTGTGGGAGGCCTTAACCCCGACACTTCAAAGGAAGTGATTCAAGAGTATTTTGGGACATTTGGAGAGGTATGATATTCACTGGGTTTTGTCAGTGTGTTAATTCACTGGGTGTTTATATTGCTGCCTCAGATGTTTTTTGTTTGTTTTTTTTCCCCATGGTGTAGATTGAGACCATTGAGCTTCCACAAGATCCAAAGACAGAAAAGAGGAGGGGATTCGTATTCATCACATATAAAGACGAGGCTCCCGTCAAGAAAGTTATGGAGAAAAAATACCATAATGTCGGCGGAAGCAAGGTAAGGCATCCTGTCACACACTTTGTACCCAGTTTCAACTACATATAATGTTTCCTGTCATTTTGGTAAAAGCAGATGTACTCTTCATGGTAATGGTCTTGTGTGCTGTTTCAGTGTGAAATTAAAATAGCCCAACCCAAAGAGGTCTACCAGCAGCAGCAGTATGGTGCGCGTGGATACGGAGGACGTGGTAGAGGCCGTGGAGGTAAGCACCTTTTGTGTGTACAGCAACAAAATTTTTTTTTTCTTTTTTTTTTTTTTTTAAAAATCTACTTCCATTCATAAACTTAAATTTATGTGGATTAAGTGCCTGGGCCCTGTATGCTGGAGAGTTGTGACATTGGCTTCACCTGTTGTTGCTAGGCCAGGGCCAGAACTGGAATCAAGGCTATAACAACTACTGGAACCAAGGATACAACCCGAACTATGGCTACGGACAGCAAGGCTACGGATATGGTGGATATGGCAACTATGACTACTCTGCTGGTTATTACGGCTATGGGGGTGGCTACGATTACAGTAAGCGATAAGTGCCCCCAGGGAAAGAAAAAAAAACTATTTTCTTGGTCCTCCTTGTTATACAGAAGAACTCAGTCCGTTTTTTTCTTGTCCTCCAGACCAGGGCAATACAAGCTATGGGAAAACCCCAAGACTCCGTGGAGGCCACCAGAGTAGCTACAAGCCATACTGATCACACATAGTGCAGGTATGCATTTTGGCATCATCTGTGGTAGTATGAGAACGTAGCTGTAACCATTGGTGCCTTTTTGACCCCAAAGATCTCCATCTACTCTAAATCCATCCAAGCCACTGTGGTGGGGTCAGGGTAGGCTGTGTTGTTGGGTGTGTGATCATTAAAGATGGATTCATTCAGCCTGTCAGCCATCTTAAGATGCATCTCTAGAAACACTACTTGATCAGTAAGGGTCGAGTTGGTGGCGACTGAGAATAGAAATAAGGACCGCTTCACCTTCCACCAGGGTGCTATATGTAGGGGATAGCTGTCGTGTTCCACCCCCTCCCCAATGTGTCTGTTCATTCACTGACCTGTCCGCCTCATTCATGCACCTGTGTCTTTGTATAACTGCATGCCACATTTGGTTTATTCTCAGTAACGTTAAGCAACGTGTTTTTCTTTTAAGGTATAAAGTAAGTAAGAAAAAGAGATCCATGGTCTGACCACAGCGAACATGGGCTCTGGCTTTTCGATTGGAGTTGGCAGAAATTTGGACTCATGCTCCATTTGTACAGATCAAGTGAGGAACTGGGGAAGCAAATGTCACTTTTCCACTTTTATTTTATATTGTTTTGTGTCATTTACATTTCCACTGATGGAAGTGTTATTTTTGCTGTACTTTTTGGTACCTTTTTGAATCTAATGTATTGTATGGTTGTATTTTTACGTCTACTGGGTTTACAGACAGGCAGAAAAGAGCTTTTAAAGCTCACAAATAAAAACGAGTTGTTTTGTTTTGTTTTTTAAGCTGTTTCAAGATCTTATTTTCTGCCATGCTGAGTGTTGGATGCAAGCTGCATGGCTTCAGATGTGGGGTGAGGTAAAATAATTGATTTCAACTAATCAGAGTTCATTGTGTGTCAAGAGAATGTTTGCCGATGGCCTAGTAGACAACCAGCTTTTTTTTTTTTTTCTTTTAAGATCCTTAGATCCTTCCCCAATCATGTCTGCAATTTTAAGTGGCTTTACTAGTGTTATTCAACTGAATGCAAGCCTGTTAATGTAAGAGGTTACTCCTCTCTCACTGGAAACTCATTCTTCTAGTGTCTTGGGCAAATTGGTAGAAATAAAATTTTGGTTTATATTACACATGGATCTTTCTGTTATTATTTGTAAAGTTAATGTTAAATGTTTTGTACTGTTAAATGGCTTGCTTGTTTTTCTTGAGTAACGTTAAAACATCTCTACGGACTCCTCTTTGAGAAGCTGTGGGACAGGGCTGCACTACCTGCAGGATAACTCGATGAGTCTTAATACCTACCCCACTAGATGTGAAACTGCGATACTTGAGCATTTTTGTGAATTTGTCCAGGAGTTAAAGCTAGTAGCCTGGTAAGTGCTTATCTCAGTCATTATGTTGTGATGAGAACATGTTGCTGATCAGTATTAAATGTTGCACCTGTGGGTAAGAGAACAAGAATCAGGATTAAAATTTAAATTTTTCTTCTTGATTTTAAAACACAGTCTTTGTGGATGTTCATTAGTGTCATCATGTAGATCGGCTGCCTCTCAGGTGGTAATGATGTGCTGTAGATCACTAAATATGATTGTCTTCAAGTGGCTGCTTTTCACCAGAGAAATGACAGCGTGTATCTCCTCCGTCCGCTGCAGTGATAGTATAAATTGGCATTGAACACCTGGAGGATAAAAAAATATATATATATAAATATATATATTAGTTGTAGGTTGACCAAGATCAAACAGAGCATTCTTCACTTTCATTTATCATCTTCTGTCACAACTTGAATATGAACTAGATTTAAATTTTGATACAAAAATGTAGACAAACAGTTATGTCAGACGTTTCGTCCATTGCAAAAAAAAGCATGTCCCCACAGTGGTCAAATGTTGAGTAGAAAGCGGCAACATGTTCTGCCAAGTGAAATGAATGGACTTGTTTGATCTCTAGACATTCCTATTTCTACCTCTGAACTCTATGAATGTGACCATTTGACAATTTCTGATGCAATTAAAAGTTTTTTTACAGGTTTACCAAACCTTAGATGTCTTCCTTTTCCAGTTTAAGGTCATTGGCTTCCATGTCTGTGAGAACAATTAAAAGTTAGTGTAACTCTGCACTTAAATGAGTGAAAAATTACTTTAGGCACCTTTTACACTGTTCAGTTTTACTCCTATTACAGCAAGTGTTGAGTAGAAATCCTAACAGCTCTAGTGTGAAGGTGGTGTTTGTGTAACTAACCTGTGAGGATATGGTCAATGCACTTTGCCACAAGTTCTGCATCCTCCATACTGAAGCACATAGGAGGTTTAAATTTTAAGACATTGTCCCAAGGACCGTCGGTACTGACAACAATTTGATGTTCCTCTTTCATCCTGGTACAAAAGGAACAGTAAGTTAAGTCACAGGGTCAGTGTATACAAAAATAAGTTAAAGGCATAGGTTTCTTTCTTGGCACAAAAAAGGGAGCACTATAAATTTGAATACCCGAATTACTGTATTGTCCCATACCTCTTTACCACCCATGCTGCTGTTTTTGTAGCAGGTGTCTTCTGCTCTCTGTCTGTAACGAGCTCCAGGCCCAGAAACAGCCCGACACCTCTGTAATAAAGTTGGGAGAGAGACATATTAATGTTCCATCAGCAACCTTTGAGACTACACTGTATGAACTTTATGTGTCACAGTGGCATCTGTCTAGATGTGCTTATCTTAATGTCTCATGAACAAAGGTCAGTGCTAATACACAGGTTATGTCACATTTGCATTATGTACGACAATTACTTAATTTTAAAGCAATTTCCTGAATAACTGAGTGAAGAGAATTTTAAGGAAATTAGTTGTAGATATCTATGGATTAACAATTAATTTGGAAAACATTTTTTTTGTTACTAAACAAGGTCACTCCATGGTATGTTTTCAAAATGTTACTATTTTTTTTTTTCTAAATCTGCCTCAGTTTGTTTAATGTTATAATAAAAGCCAAATAGAAGTTTTCTTTCAGCTGAGGAAGACCAAGTGACATTTTGACATCACATTAGGAAAAGCAAAACTATAAATAGAATTAATGCCCAGATTTAAGGGAGGTTTTGCCATTACTGCTTACCTGGGATACGTTATTAATGTTAGTAATACCTGTGCTGTTCCTGCAATGACAAGTCAAAATCACTGCTGTACAGCATAATACACAAGTGGGAAAATTATTTGTGTGGGAATAATGGCTTTTTAAGGTTATAATTTTTTCATACTTATAACCTTATTTTGAATTGACATAGCTCGTCTACAGTGTGAAGTCAGTGCAATAGTTACAAGATGCATCAGCTGCTCACAGGCCCTGCATAGCCGAGATACAAGTGAGACGAGGCATCTAATCAGCCAAGATAAGTGGAAACAGCTGTGTGCACGTACCAAGGGCGTGTAAGAGCTTTAATTAGTGATAGATGGTCATTATAAATTAATGATTTCTTGTTTGCATTTTAATGATATATCTGTAAACAAAGTAGCATTTGTTCCAAAAACAGGGAGATCCACTAATGTTCAACCCATTTAAGAGTAAAGCTACTCCAAAAAAGGACAGAGGCATGGTGGCAATTTTTTAAAGCTTTCACTTTTACTTTAAATCTATCTTCAGGAGCAGGCAAAAATGCCACAGCAACAGCAGCTAATTAATACCAGGTGTGCCAGCTGGTTGCACGCCTGCAATGTCACAGGTATACACAGCATGAGAGAAGACAGCAGCACTAACTCAGACTTGTCCACAATATTATCCAAACAGCTTTTACTGGAAAATTTTGAGAACAAATCCTGAAAAGATGTCTCTCAAAAATAAAGAAAAATCTAGAGTGAGTTTATAAAAATATGAGACTCCCAAGATTTCTTATTTTACATAGAACAAAGATCACCTAAAGTGTTCAGAAGTTCTGTTTATCATTTCAAGTGTCCAGGATGCAATGCTGATCTTACAAGTAAAACTGAGCACTGTCTGATTTCCATATTAAGTGATCACTCAAAAAGACAGTGCCACGTGTGAACACATGACATCACGCATGGAAATTAAACTAACAACAGAGTAGAACTTCCTGAAAGATTGAATCTGTTACCAGAATCCTGTACCACAAAACAAGTTCAACTAAGTCTGGCTCTCTCGTGGGTTATCTAGCTTCACTGAGAATGACATTGGCACTACAAAGCCAGTTATGAACTGGGCTCTCCTGTCAGTCTAGCAGCATTTTCATGTAAAAGAGGCAGAGTTGTTAATAAGAAGCAACATTGCCAGAACCATGGATGAACTACTGAATATAATATGAGATCATGGAACAGTGATACCCACAAGGAAAATCGTTTAGAGAGGGAGCAAGAAGTGACGTCAGAGCGGCTGAACTGTGAACAATAGGCTGTGGTCACATAATTAGAATAGAATAAGAAGCCATTGGAATGTTAGGAAAAATAAACTTTCAAATATTATGGAAAGACTAAGAATATACCATATTTACCACAGTGTTATTTTAAGGGTCTTCTTAAATAAGTAGCTCTATTTCTGTCCCTTGTCCACTGACAAACTATTGTGAACATGTGTTAAGGGAAAAAAAAAACACTGCTGCCAGGGTGGAGAGAAAAGGACAGTGAAGAGGAGTTACACCTAAAGTCATATGTTTTTTTTATATTTATAGTCATGGGAAATATTTAACAATATATAGATTTTTTCCAAATTAAAAAAATATATCATTACAGAATCTCTTCATGTTATTCTAGCTGCAAGGGTAGAAGCTTGTACAAATGCAGACATAAATTCAGTTGGGAATAAAAAAAAACTGTCCATTTAAAATACAGCATTGATGATCATAGAGACTGTAGACTCCCTCAGTCTTTTAGAAACTGCTGTAAAACAGAGTGACCCATGAATGTCTGAAACATCACAACAATATGATTGCTCTATAGAAATATTTATCGTTTATCACATTATGTGAACTCTTTTGTCCCTTTCAGGATTCTGTAGGAATGATCACTCATTTTTTTCTAGTGATCTGATTGGTCACTGTTCAGACTGTTGACAAGTCCTGATTTGATCCTTTGAAGTTAACCTGTTCTAGAGCAGCATAAGTTACTGTGGTGATCTAGCCTGATTAAAAGTGAGCCAGGTTTGTGGTACCAAAAGACCTGAGCTGAGCCCAAAGTTTGCTGGATAAGCCACTAAACTTGCTCCGTGGTACAGGCCCCTGTCTTTCATTAGCTGCTGTTGCTCTAGCATTCTTGCCTGCTCCTAAAGATGGTTTTAAAGTAAAACCGAAAGCTTTAGAAAATTGCCACCATGCCTCTGTTTTTTGGAGCAACTTTATTTAGCATTTGCTTTTATGAGTTTTTTGCTTTTCAAAAGTGACTTCATCCTATGGATTACCACAGCAGAACAGCATTCGCCTTCATGAGCCCGATCGCACTAGTCACTGCATCCTTACCTGACATTGCCAATTATTTGATGTCGTGTTTGTAGCTTGGTGAGCAAATCTTTAAGATGTGCTCCCACTCGCATGGCGTTTCCTCTTAGGTCCTCCATCTCTATTACATCAAGCACTGCCAGGCCAATTGCACACGACACTGGATTCCCTCCGAACTGTATGAAGTTGGAGAAAAGACAAATTAATTCATCTTGACATGCATGTTTAGCAATAGCCAGTACAAACAGATTTTTAACTAATATTATTTTGCAGCACTTTTTTTTTTTTTTTTTTTACTTAAGAAGAGCCCATCTTTATGTAACTGATACTCATTTAATCATAGTATTATGAAATCATTTTTTGTTGCAGGCATCAGGCTGTCTCTACAGCTGTGAAAACCTAGATGCCAACTTGACTGAGCATTCATTTATATTATATTGAAGCTACTGTATATTCACCGTATTGAAGTACTCTACACCGTTGTCTGTGAACGCTCCAGCTATCTCCACAGTGGTTGCCACACATGCCAGCGGATGCCCATTGCCCATTGGTTTGCCCATGGTCACTATGTCAGGACAGAAACCCTCTCCCTCCAGCTGAAAAGCCCAGAAATGACTTCCCACACGTCCAAAACCTGTCTGCACCTCATCTGCCACAAACACGCCACCAGCTGAGTGCACATAACTGTGGAGAGCAGGCAGGAGATGTACCAAGTCACCAATGTGGCTGAGCAAAGAGGACCTGAAAATTGAGTCACTACTCACTCTGCAACTTTAGTTAAGTATCCTTGAGGCAAGATTATGTGCCCCCCAACACCAGGTAATGATTCAGCAATAAAGGCAGAAATCTACAAGACAAAAGAGATATTTTTCATAAACTGATAATGTGCATTACAGCATTAATCTGAGTGATTCTGTATAATGATGTTTTGAATGTTGCTGATTTTTTTCAGGCTGCATGAAACTGTGAAGCGTACCTTGCGACCTTTCCTGTGCACCTCCTCAATTAGGTCTTTTACAGTCTCGGCATATGCTTGGCCTGGGTTTGAGTGATTCTCCCTGTATATGCCTCTGTAGGTGTCTGGTAGGGGTGCCTAGGAGGATGAAACACATTCTTTCAGATAGGCAGGAGTCTGCTATTGGTCAGCAATTTTTTTAATAATAGCTGTATAACTTTACACACCACATGAACCCATTCTTTCTGTCCTGCCAGTTTCCTGAACTTGTAAGGACTAATGTCGATGAGGGACATTAGATGCCCATGGTAAGCACTAGTATAAAAGAAGAGTTATTTTTAATTGATAGCATGTGTGTTGTCACAGGGCCGAAGTGTTGCATTAGAACAGAATACTTACTGGTCAAGCACAATTACATCCTCATGTTTTGTGTACTGCTGTGCCAATCGTAGGGCAAGATCATTGGCTTCTGAACTGTAAAGGGGAGATGTAAAATCACCGGAATGGTACATCAGGAACACCATCCTGTGGTACTGTGGGAGTATTAAAAAGTGCTACTTACCCAGAATTAACAAAGTAGAAGACACACAGTTTCTCAGGAAGGGTGGCAGCCAGGCGCTTTGCATACATGATTATGTTGTCATGCAGGAATCGTGTATTTGTATTCAGGAGTTCCATTTGTGCTGCTGCAGCTTTTGTAATACTGGGGTGACAATGGCCCACTGCAATAAAAAAAAAAACATACTGGTTGTTACTAACTTATCAAAACATTTTATGAGGCAGGGTGTAATATACTTTTTATAGGCAGAAAGTCAATGTGGACTATGCACTGGATGATAAATGTTTTACCTTGATGAACATTACTGATGCAGTCCAGATAGCGCTTGCCATTTTCATCAAATAGATATTGTCCTCTTGCTCTTACTATTTTCACAGGGTTATCTGGATAAAAGAGTCTACATGACTTCCTGTAAGAAAAGGAATTCAATGAATTGCCATACATGTCAGTAATATGTGCCTTTCTGCAGGCACCTTCATGACAGCATGCTCTGTACAATTTGACTATTAGCTAACACTAGTGATGTAGATGTACTTCCTGCACCAGCACAGCAAATTCAACCTGCCCCAGGAGCTGCTGATACAATTTTACAATGGAATCACAAAGTCTGTTCTCTGCACATCTGTCACTGTCTGGTTTGGTTCAGCAACCGAACAGCTTTAGTTCTAAGTGTACAGCCCGAATGGACAGTTCAGGCTGCAGATAAAACACTCCTGGACATAAACTGTTTGAACTTCTCCTCTCTGAACGCTGCTACAGGCCATCACTCTCATGAACAGCTAATCCATTTGTCAGCATTGGCATTTGTTTAACAGGACACAGCAAACAGCCTCAGTGCAATAACTGCCCAGTACAATAGATTGTAAATACAATCACTTCATTGTAAATACTCACACGCCGTGAATACGCTGTCGACTGTTTAACTTACTAGGGTGGAACTACAACACCTAGTGGTTTAAAGTAATCCGAGAGTGCTAATTTTAACCCTACCATCTTTCGACCACTAAGCGATTTCGTTGCCACGTATGAACAATTGTTTGGTTAAAATCAATGCTTCAACACGGCGTCATCTCTCCATCACTAGTTAGCACCATGAAAACGATAAATAGTCAGTTTCGCTTCGAAATACCCAATAAATCGGTTCCTCATTGCCAGAGTTTCTTCTTTCTTCAGTTTTTGAAGTGCCATGGTCGCTTTTTTCTTTTTCTTTTTCTTTTTTCTTCTTCTTCCTCTACTTCAGTGTGAGGTTTGGCAAACAACCATTTGGTGCATTACTGCCACCAATTGGCGAGGAGTGTAGAAAGTTTACTTTATCTCTGGATTTATAAGCTACCCAGCAGTAATTCAACATATAAGCATAAAAAGTATTTAAAATTAGACAATTTTTTACCAGCTGCAAGATTAGATGTTATTTACTGAATAATGCATCAACAATTAGGCTATTATTTGTGGAGTTTCTATCTAGTTTGTTAAACGGGATTTTGAGACGATGCCTGAGGAATGGAAGAGAAGTGTTCTAGTGCCGATCTTTAAGAACAAGGGTGATGTGCAGAGTTGTAGCAACTACAGAGGTATAAAGTTGATGAGCCACACAATGAAGCTATGGGAGTAGTGGAAGCTAGGCTAAGAAAGGAAGTGGATATCTGTGAGCAGCAGAATAGCTTGAGCAGCAGTATGGCTTCATGCCCAGAAAGAGCACTACTGATGCCATTTTTGCCCTGAGAATGTTAATAGAGAAGTACAGAGATGGTCAGAAGGAGCTGCATTGCGTCTTTGTAGATTTAGAGAAAGCGTATGGCAGAGTGACAAGTGAGGAGCTATGGTACTGTATGAGGATGTCAGGAGTGGCACAGAAGTACATCAGAGTAGTTCCGGATATGTATGAGAGGAGTACGACAGTAGTGAGATGCGCTGTAGGTCAGACAGAGGAGTTCAAGGTGGAGGTGGGGCTACATCAAGGATCGGCTTTGAGTTTCTTCTTGTTTGCTATGGTGATGGACAGGTTGACAGATGAGGTCAGACAGGAATCTCCCTGGACAATGATGTTTGTGGATGACATTGTGATCTGTAGTGAGAGCAGAGAGCACATGGAGGAACACCTGGAAAGGTGGAGGTCTGCTCTGGAAAGAAGAGGAATGAAAGTCAGTCGTGGTAAGACAGAATACATGTGTATGAA